ATTATTTATATAAAACATTTCTCGTCACTATATGGATGGAATATTGCCAATGTGACGTTAAATATTAACTCACTCACTCACTCACTGGAACATTGCTGAGTGCGGCGTAAAACTAAACTCTCTCACTCACTCACCCAATGGTCTGACGTGTTGTTTCGTTGCTCTGGTTAAGCGATCCTTCAAATGGTTGCGCACATCTGTCGGTTTTGACGTAGTGATGTTACTGAAGGTCACCCACTGCATGGACGGTCTTGGATGCTGTAAGTGGTCAAATATCAACACAATCCAACAGAAGGTGATTGATAGTTAAAGGCTGTGACACGGAATACATTGAGGCGGTTCCTCTCCCTTCAGTATAAATGGATGAGTGTAATAAGAGTGTTTAGTGCAACACCTATGAATCACCATTTAACATTTTAAATCATAAAGAGCATTGTAGTCTATCACGCGTTGTATGGCATGACGTTTCTTTGATACTTACTTGTTCGATTTTTGTTGCAACATGTTTTTGACGTATTGGCAAAATACGGTTAATAATGCACTAAAGACGAGTAATTGTTAGCAGAAATAGCTGATATTGATCATTATATTGTTGGTGCAAACATTTTGAAGGCCATGGCATGCACTTAGAGGCGTCCCTAGAATGGTGATATACCTTCAGTCGTTAGCGATCTACAGCCTGTTTTAATATTGTATTGTTATTTATAGTTCCAATATTTTAGATTTAATTGCTAGTTTTAAATGGATATCTGTGATACACTAGTAGTTTTACTGTTCTTCGTCAACAGGTTTTTGAATTTCTAACTTTATTCATCTTTAATATAATTATAAAATGTTCTCGTCACGATATGGCTGAAATATTGCCGATGTGACGATAAATATTAACTCACTCACTCACTCACTCACTTAGAGGCTAGGTACAAATATAACATCTCAATTAGAATGTGAATGCATGTAAATATTGAACATTATGCGTTATTCCCACTCCATCCATCTTATCGACAGTAACTGCTAATAGTTAATAGCATACTATCGCCACTATATGGCTAAAATATTGCCCAGGTGACGTTAAATTTTATTTCGCTTACTCCCTAATAGCATACTAAAGAATGGAGTGGAAAGAGTGAGTGAGTGAAATAAGAGATTACATCTCATCACATAAAGAGATGTCAGCTAAAAGCCATTTAAATTTACAACTCTGCTTGGATCCATGTGTATTTCCAGAGTAACATGACCAAATTTCGCGAAAACTGTCCTGTCCAACCAGCAGCAGGCTTCACAAACACATGCAAAGGCAAGTCAGTTGTCCACGTGAAAAGATCTGGTGCAAGTCAAAGTCAAAGTAGGGTCTAATCAACTAACATGCATGTCCTCCGGCCACATAGGGGCGATGGGGTGGCGCTCGCCACGCTGAAGACGCGGGTTCGATGTCCCACATGGGTCCAATGTGATTTGATTTGATACCCCCAAAGTACTGTAAGTCCCCATTGTCTTTAGTATGGTGATCTACCTTCAGTTGCTGGTGATCTATAGCCCGTTTTGATATTTCATTGTCCTGCATTATGGTATACGTTTTAGTTACATGCTAGTTTTATATCTCTATCTGTGATACACTAGTAGTTTTATTGTTCATCGTAAACAGTTTTATAGCTCCTAATATTATTGATCCTTACTGATAATTAATTGTTCTCGTCACGATGTGGCTGAAATATTGCCGATGTGACGATAAATATTAACTCACTCACCCACTTACTTAATACCCCCACCACAACAAACTCGCTCTCAGGACGTTCTTGGAACATTTTCGCATCGGGTTCGAACTGCGTGCGAACTGACTGGACGTAGTGGCACCTGTTTGCTGTCTGTATAAGAACTTTGCGTACGGGATCGGTTGGAGTAGGGACGGAAGAGTGTTTCAGAACGTTTAACATGCCGTACTACGAACAATATTGCCGTCCTTCCATCTTACTGACGCAATTGCTATACGTTTGTGAACAGTTTCCACCCTTTCACTCCGTTGGCAGACAGACCTAACTCGACTGCATCACATTCTTACTTAGTTGCTATTCCGTGCAAATATATCCAAAACAAAATGAATTGTTCTTCAGAAGTTGTAGTATTTATCTATACGGTTCTAAAAGTTCGCAATGCGTTCTCATTACGCTCTACTCGTACAGCGGCGACTAACGGGATCGGGTGGTCAGGTTCGCTGATTTGGTGGACACATGTCATCGGTTCCCAACGGCGCAGATCGATGTTCATGCTGCTGATCACCTTATTGTCTTGTCTGGTATTGACTCGATTATTTACAGACCGCCGCCACAACTTGAACACTGATATATGGCAATAGGAACCTATCTAATCATGTCAATACACACATATTTCGATCTGTTCATTAGTTTATATCTCAAAGCAAATGTTTTACGTGAAAATATTGGTATGTCACAGTGTTTTTTTCTACATGAATGCACAATAATTTATTATATAAAGTTCCTGTTGTAATATACATTCGTTTGGGTAGAAACATTAATATAGGGGTAACACTGTTTATGAATTCCACTGTACATGACTTGAGTACAAGAATATAGATTGTTTAAACTATGTATGATTTGACATAATCTGCAACCAAAATTTAAGTCAGAATGATTGTAGCTGTTTTAATCTATTAAAATTACATTCTTTTTAATCTCGATAGGCACGGCGATTTTTTATGTTCAGCCGGTAATGAATTCCATAATTTAACAGTATCTGGAAGAAAGGACCTCTCATAATTTATAGATTTACAGTCTGAAGATTTGAATCCTCGATACTAACATCTCTGTGGTCCCACGTTACTAAGATTGGCTTAGTGTTATTGACCATTTTGTAAAGCAAAGTCATTTTATGAACGTATCTTCTACGGCATCAAGACTGAGCTTTTCAAGTATATCTGCTTGCTGTATGGTACAACTATCCCCTAGAGCAATCATAATGACGTATAAGATCTAAATGTTTAATGCTTTGAACGGAATTGATGATATTACCATTCATTATTAGATTCGACATTGGAGTTGGTTGCGCATTGACTCTGTCTTATTTGGATTAAAAGATACGTGCCATTTTTCTATTCCAATCTAGGCGTACTTACCTAATGTGGGAGGAAAGACCAAAGTAATGCAGGTCTCATTTGTTGCACACTTTAGTGAATCCCACGGGTGCTGACAGACCTAACCTTCCCAACATGGTAAATTGAAATTAGGATCAGTATTTGTTGTACATGGGATTTAAGTTTAGTATTGAGGTCACCTGGTCGATGATTTGAGAGACGACATTGAGCGTGTTCCTGGCCCCACGTGGTTGTGTGCATAGGTTGAGGTTACTCATGCATGTGATTGCTGTTGGTAAATGATTCCTTGCACTTTGTAATGCAAAAAAAACAAAGAGCAAAGATGTTTCCAGTTATCTTAAGCAATTTCAAATATATCAATGTAAATAGTCTATCGCTTTTATCGATAAGGGATGAGATAAAGTTAACAAAACTTAATGTCATAACCCACAAGCGTGTGATTCTATTTGCCATCTTATATCGATATTCCCACACTTTGGTTTGTAAACAGTAATTACATATGTTTTGCTTGTAGAAAATAACGTTCAATAGCTCCACATGCAGAAAGTTGAGAGATAACGTGATTGTGACGTCACAATGGTCTCCAAAACATTCCAAGTACACATTCAGTGTGAGCTGGTAACGAAAAGTTTTAACATGTGATGCATGTGGCTTAAACACTGACTAGTGTCTTCTGTCAACGTGGAATTAGTTGATTGGTAAACATGGTTAATGATTTACCCAAAGAAGAAATTGACAGAAGAAAGGTAAATACTGGACGACAATAGGAATGAAAAACCGACCGTTGCTAATGAGGCATCAAGGCCTTAACAGTTTTTAGGGAGCTTCCTTAATCTACAGGTTGAACAATACATTTCCAGTTCATGGAACGTGTATTCCATTGTGATTTAACAATGATAAGCATTCCATATCAATTCGAAGTGTTTGAACGAATTGCACTCTGTTTTCATTAAATTTAGAAACGTTTTGGAGACAACACAGTTCTATTGTGAATGAACCTGAATAATATCGTACATATCTTATTACATTGGCAGCAGATGTCAATACATTCCACAGTAGGTGCCGCGTCCCACCGAAGCAGGATGAACGTTGTGCTGTGTCTGGGAATTGCATTCATCCCGGTCGTGTATGCTGGAAATTGCAGTTCCTGGCAACGCTTTGACAGGCATGTGACACTAGACAATGTAAAGGCAAGAGAATATTCTTGGAGGACACAGGCGCTTCTTCATCAAGAGACCTGTATTGGCCTCTGTACCCAGGACGAACTTTGTACAGCTCTCACCTACCACAATGGCACGTGCAGCATGTACAGATCTTCTCTCACGTCCTCTGGGAAATCTGTTCCTGGATCCAAGCACTTCATCAAGGCAGGAGGTAAGCTCATCATATTTGAAATGAAAATACTGAACACCCTCTAAGCCATTACAGATATAAATCGCTGGTGGAACTAAGGTACAAGTGTACAATTGCTGGCAATCGTCCCCTGGAGACCATGGCTTCAAAACGGCAGGAGATAAAGTTTTGTGTATTTGCAATACTGCGTAATAATGCTACGACCATTGTTGCCAGCTTGCTAAATGTATATCACCATAAAATGCTTCCAAATAAATCAGGGAAATGTGTTACCCTGGAAACAGAAATATTTGGATAGTCTGAGTAATAATGACAGATACATTGTTTTAATTTTGGATCTTGAATCGCTTTTAATCCAGAAGGTGAAAGGATTCACTTAAATAAGTTCTGATCGTGTGGCCACTTTATACATGTCATCGATGGTATATAGTGGTGGAACACGCTATACACCAGAGATTCTGGAGTAACGCCTACATTAAGTAACACCTCTTAGCGAACATCTGAAGTGTTTTTTTACACAAATCTATTCACTTTCAGCGCTTCCTGATCCAGACCCATGTCCTGTATCTATGGGGTATACGTCCGTCGTGTCTCCCCGGTTGTGTTACAAGATAACTCCAAACGGCGGCTCCTCGTGGAGCCTGACTTCTCTGTGTCAAAGTGAAGGCGGCCGGCTGGTCGTCCTCAACAGCCAGGAGAAGCAGGAGTACATGGCTTCACTCCAGAGGCACGGTCAGTGTAAATTGTCCTTCGGATTACATTGTTAAACCTGTGACAAAAAGGGGAGTACCAATAGGGAAAACACTCACAAATGCATCAACCAGGAAGGTGCTTACAGTCATAGTCTAAAATGAAAGACACCCCAGGCACAGGTCTTCAGGCCCGAAATGCATTGTACATACTATATTCATCAGTACTCCTTCAATAATATTTCCTCACTTCAGTTATTGGTGGCAGAGGTGGCCCATATGCTCACCAATATTTTTATCCTTGCAGATGATGTACCAGGAGCTCTCTGGGTTGGAATGGAGAAACTTGTAAACAACGTGTTTACCTGGCTGGATGGGTCTACTTACGTATGGAAGTGGGGCTCTAACCAACCCAGTGAAGAGGCAGACCAGATCTGTGTTAAATCGAACCATGGTGAATTGTCAAACAGAAGGTGCACCCAGGAATCCAGAGCTGTCTGTGAGATACCTCTGTAAATTCTAATATGCCCGTACACGCAATCACATTTACATTTTGAACTATTGTGAGGTACACACGTGACGTTGCGAGACAAAAACAGTCGTATTATTTTAATATTGTTATATTGTTGTGTGCTATATATAATTACCTTATAACATGTTTAGTTAGTTCATGTTTTGTTCCTTTTGACGTGCTATATAGAAAGGATCCATTACAAATGGTAAAACGTGTTAGTTTGTGGAAAGTTGTCTTTTTTCAAGTGTACAAATTGGTGCACATACATGTTTTTCCATTACAAAAACATATTTGTGTCTGAGGACGTCCATTAAGAGAATATAAACTTGTTAACTTGTAGGCATTTCCCCGATCATTAACGTGTGCCACACATGATTGTGACCGCGCTAAACACTGAAGCTCGGCTACGACAACGTTTAGGTAAACCCATATATTTAAATCAATGATGTGATGAAAGGGTGTTTTACGCCACATTCTATGATACTGCTGCTATTTCAGGTAGACACATACAAAATCGAGTTTGAATCGTCCATGAGGGTAACATTATGTAATATAAGCTTAAGCAAACAAATTAACGCTAATGCAAGGTCCTTTCCATCTTTTAAACTCAGGAGTGAATAGTATCGCGTCGATATTTCAACATTATTCAGCGTACAATGTACATGTTTAATTATAAAAATAGTCAGTAATTGGCAACTTACATGCTTTTCTCGATACATATGAGTCACACTTCATTTCATGTTAGTCATTAGCACTGTTGCCAGATCTAACAAACAGCTTTTTAGAGCCTTGTTTAGTAGGATACGTATGTCTGGAGAAGTGCTTCTAAAGGTTAGGGTGCGGCCCACCATTTGTCGATATGTCACTTGCTAAATAAACTGAAGTTACGTGAAGCAGACACTTACATGTAATTAAACTTTTGGTTAAATAAATGTAAACATTTTGTTGTAGTTTTGTTGATATTGTATACATTTGTTGGAGTAATATTTATGCTTCCTCTTGTCATTTTAAATACAGTTTACATCGCATCTCAGAAGGTTATGTGTCAGTTACGAACTCACATTCTCTGAAACAAGTCATTATACATCGCCGACTATTCAACAATGACTTTATGTGGGCCCATTCGCGTCGATATTTTAACATTATTCAAAGCACAATGTACATATGCATAGTTTATGTTTAATTATCCAAAGAGTGAGTAATTGGCAAACTACATGTTCTCTCGATTCCAACATGCCAAGCTAACATACGTATGTTTGGAGAAGTGCTTTTAAGGATGAGGGTGCCACAATACACATTGCCGTCTCGGTATTTTCCAAGTAAGATTTCGTGAAAAGAGTCGCAGACAGTTACATGTAATTTAACTTTTGGTTCACCCAAGATAGCATTCTGTTGTAGTTTTGTTGATATTGTATACATTTGCTGGAGTAATATTTATACTTCTTCTTGCAATCATAAATATAGTTTACATCCTGTCTCATTAGGTTAGTTTATCGCCGAATATTGACCTTTGACTTTATGAAGACACATGAGTGTAAATGCTTCTGTGGGAATGGTTTCTTATATCAAAAACGCAGTGAGTGAGTGAATATGGTTTTACGCCCCTTTTAGTAATTTTGAAGGAATATTACGATGGGACATCAGAAGGGGTTCACACATTGTATCCAGGTGGGTAATCAAACACAGGTCTTCTTCACGACGAACGAACGCTTTAACCACGAGGCTACCTCACCACCCGACATAGAGCTAACTATTTTCGGAGGCATAATAGCTTCCCATCACCCTATTTTTGTCATAGGATCAGTTGTGATTATGAAGATACGTGACCGACAGTGTATCATCCTGACATGGGATCCTGGTGTTCATGCACTGATGTACCATGAAGACACAGTGCCTTTAAGAAAGAGACATGGGTTGCTGAAGATCATTTCCAGCCGGGTCGCATTCTTCATGCGTCGATTTTGATGAGAGTGTTAATTGTTTTGTTGAAGTATTAAGATTTACAATCATATTAGCGATATTTCAGCCATATCGCGACTGAAACAAGTTTAGAATTCAGCATAGATACATGCAAATTATAAACACCTGTCATCGAAGGACAGTAAAACTAATTAGAATATCACAGTACCAAGAAATAAAACTAGCATCTCTCTAAAATTGGATTTCATCCCGACATCCAAAAGTACCAGACATCCCGACATCCAGCAGTACCAGACATCCAGGCATCCAGCAGTACCAGACATCCAGGCATCGAGACATTCAGCAGCACGAGACTTCCAGGCATCCAGACACCCAGCAGTACCAGACATCCCAACATTCAGCAGAACCAGTGATCCCGACATCCAGGCATCCAGACATCCAGGCATCCATACATCCAGCAGGACCAGGCATATAGACATCCAGTATACCAGACATCCAGTCATCCAGCAGTACGAGACATCCAGGCATCCAGCACACCATACATCCAGTAGTACCAGACATCCATTCATCCAGCATACAACATCCAGCAGTACCAGACAATCAGCAGTACCAGACATCCAGGCATCCAGCATACCAGACATCCAGCAGTACCAGACTTCTAGCAGTACCAGACATCCAGTAGTACCAGACATCAAGGCATCCAGCAGTACCAGACATCCAGTAGTACCAGTTATCCACACATCCAGCATACAACATCCAGCAGTACCAGACTTCTAGCAGTACCAGACAATCAGTAGTACCAGACATCCAGGCATCCAGCATACAACAGACATCCAGCAGTACCAGACTTCTAGCAGTACCAGGCAATCAGCAGTACCAGACATCCAGGCATCCAGCATACCAGACATCCAGCAGTACCAAACTTCTAGTAGTACCATACATCAAGGCATCAGCAGAATATCCAGACATCCAGCAGTACCAGACAACCAGCAGTACCAGACTTCTAGCAGTGCCAGACAATCAGCAGTACCAGACATCGAGGCATCCAGCATACCAGACATCCAGTAGTACGATATCCAGACATCCAGCATACAACATCCAGCAGTACCAGACAACCAGCAGTACCAGACAATCAGCAGTACCAGACATCAAGGCATCCAGCAGTACCAGACAATCAGCAGTACCAGACATCCAGCATACCAGACATCCAGTAGTACCAGACATCAAGGCATCCAGCAGTACCAGACAATCAGCAGTACCAGACATCCAGCATACCAGACATCCAGCATACCAGACATCCAGCATACCAGACATCCAGCATACCAGACATCCAGCAGTACCAGACATCCAGCAGTACCAGACATCCAGCAGTACCAGACATCCAGCAAGGCATCCAGCAGTACCAGACAATCAGCAGTACCAGACATCCAGCATACCAGACATCCAGTAGTACCAGACTTCTAGCAGTACCAGACAATCATACCAGACATCCAGACATCGAGGCATCCAGCATACCAGACATCCAGTAGTACGATATCCAGACATCCAGCATACAACATCCAGCAGTACCAGACAACCAGCAGTACCAGACTTCTAGCAGTACTAGACAATCAGCAGTACCAGACATCCAGGCATCCAGCATACCAGACATCCAGCAGTACCAGACATCCAAGAGTACCAGACATCAAGGCATCCAGCAGTACCAGACATCCAGCAGTACCAGACATCCAGCAGTACCAGACATCCAGCAGTACCAGACTTCTAGCAGTACCAGACAATCAGCAGTACCAGACATCCAGGCATCCAGCATACCAGACATCCAACAGTACCAGACATCAAGGCATCCAGCAGTACCAGACATCCAACAGTACCAGACATCAAGGCATCCAGCAGTACCAGACATCCAAAAGTACCAGACATCCAGCAGTACCAGACATCAAGGCATCCAGCAGTACCAGTACCATCCAATCAGTACCAGACATCAAGCAGTACCAGACATCCAGCAGTACCAGACATCCAGCAGTACCAGACATCCAGCAGTACCAGACATCCAGCAGTACCAGACATCCAGCAGTACCAGACATCAAGGCATCCAGCAGTACCAGACATCCAGTCCAGACACCCAGCAGTACCAGACATCCAGCAGTACCAGACATCAAGGCATCCAGCAGTACCAGACATCCAGCAGACATCAAGGCATCCAGCAGTACCAGACATCCAGCAGTACCAGACATAGCAGTACCAGAGATCAAGGCATCCAGCAGTACCAGACATCCAGCAGTACCAGACATCAAGGCATCCAGCAGTAACAGACATCCAGCAATACCAGACTTCCAGCAGTACAAGACTTCTAGCAGTATCAGACAATCATCAGTACCAGACATCGAGGCATCCAGCATACCAGACATCCAGCAGTACCAGACAACCAGCAGTACCAGACTTCTAGCAGTATCAGACAATCAGCAGTACCAGACATCGAGGCATCCAGCATACCAGACATCCAGTAGTACGATATCCAGACATCCAGCATACAACATCCAGCAGTACCAGACAACCAGCAGTACCAGACAACCAGCAGTACCAGACTTCCAGCAGTATCAGACATCCAACAGTACCAAACATTCAGACATCCAGGCATCCAGCATACCAGACATCTAGCAGTACCAGACATCCAGCAGTACCAGACATCCAGCAGTACCAGACATCCAGCGTACCAGACATCCAGCAGTACCAGACATCAAGGCATCCAGCAGTACCAAACATTCAGACATCCAGGCATCCAGTGTACAACACGTCCATTATATCAGACATCTAGGCATCAAGCATACCAGACATCCAGGCATAAAATGTTTTCGCTAATGGGGCGCGTGTTTTCACGAATAAACATTAGTATACATACATATTTGTCCATAACAAAATTATATCATTGTGGAAGACCAGAGAATATGAATCTGTTAACATAACCCCAAAGGGTCATTTCCCGATCATTAACGTATGCCACACATGATTGTGACTGCGCTTAACACTGAAGCCCCAGTGCGAAAATGTTTAGGCAAACCAATATACTTAAATCGATAATATGATCTATGATACTGCTGCTATTTCAGGTAGATCAATAAATAATCGGGTTTGAACTGTATATGAGAGTAACATTATACTCGTAAAACATACGCAAACAAATTAACGCTAATTCAAGGTCCTTTCCATCTGGGAAACTCAGGCGTGAACAGTAACAAGAATCATGTCGATATTTATTCAACGTTAACTGTATGCATGAATATTTTACGCTTCATAATCCAAATCGTAAGTAATTGGCATGCTACATGCTTTTCCCGAAACCCACGTGTCAAGCTTCATTTCATGTTTCTCATGAGCACGGTTACCGGATCAGCCAATGAGCTTTAAGAGCCCAGGGCCCCTATTCTCTAAAGGATCCTAGCCCTAGCTTTGATCCTAGGGTCTTTGATTCCATTGTATAATGATCTTGCCTCAGGTCAATACGACATCTTCCTCTGTTGATAACCCAACCATGTTGGAATATATGGTAACACAATGGCTATTCTGCTCGTAAGGCAGTACACGACAATTTGTGACACCACTTCTCATTCCATACTCTGATTACAAATCCGTAATTAGATCTTACATTCATGAAGCAAAAGAAGTTGAACGCCCAAGTAGATGTCAATAAATTACATCCAATAAAACCAACAATTGGTTACACCTACTATGGTTGTCACTCCAGCTTTGAAGAGGTCATTGTGTCGCATTGGCCTCAGCAGGTATACGCATGAGTACTTATTAATAGGTGAAGATGCTCCCTTTACAACCCTTGTGATGAAAGAATAACGGTCAAGAATGTCCCGTTTGACTCTATTGAATTTCCCATTACAAGGGAGGCATACTTCAATGTAAAAACGATAACGGATATCGATAATAAAATCCATGCTCATT